AGTGCTTTGGTTTTCTGTCTGAAGGTGATGGAAGACAAACTTTATAACAGACTTGCTGCATGTCATTTCAGACGCCAAAGCTGTGGTCAGCACTGGTCCCTTTGTCATTGTGGATGAAGATGGTGAGAGAACTCTGCCTTTAATCGCCGAACAAGAAGGCGCTAACGTCCCAAACGCCATGCAGTCTGCTCTTCCAGATCTTGCTGATGTGATAGTTTCTTCTGTTCCAAGAAACGAGTTCAACGCTGGCCCAGAGGGTGTAGTGGTTGTGAGTCAGGACCCTGCCACCAGGCTGACGCTCTGGCTACCTGAACAGGTGCCTCCTCAGTCTGACTTGAATGACATTACCAAACTGCGTTCTTCAACCACAAATCAAGAACCGAATCCGATCAAAGGTCAAAGTTTCAGTAGTGTTTCTCCATCAACTATGATTAACGGATGGAAGAGTCCTCCACACCCAGCTATTCCAGAGGGCTTCAAAAGAAAAAGCCGGTCTGGAAGATCTGGCAACTTTGACCGCAAAGAGGAACCGGTTAATTTTTCTTTGCCAGCTGAGATTAGTGTAAAGTACCTTATGCTGGTTGAAAGGCCACATAAAGCAGAATTGGACAACACAGCTGCTGTAGAGGAATCCCAAAGTGAAAAATGGCTGCAGAATGAGATTAAGGACCCAAACCATGATGACCTGCCTCAGATGCTGACAGGTGGTGCTATGATGCCTGAAGGAAAAGATGAAATCCCACCAATGACGCGCTCCAAACTCTCCTTCTCCAAAGCTGCTGATGGGTCGCAGACACTGAGTTATGAGGAAGAGGCAGTGGTACACAAGACAAGTCCAGTGGAAAGAAAACAGTTGAAACTAAAGGGGCTGCACTCAACTTTCTTGAGTCTGTTGAGGTGAATGACTTGTTTGCAGTTAGCTGGCAGACTGTTTAATGCATGTGAAGATGGCTGATTTAATTTGGTTTTTGTTTTTCCTCAGGAGGATGAAGAATGCAGAATAACCACGGCTTTAAAAGACTTTAAACTTGTACTTGAGATAAATAAAACTGATGTGCACTTATCTGGTCTCATTACTCTTGCTTTTTAAAATAAAAGTTGTCTTTGTATTAGTTATTTATCCAGGTAAAAATCTCATTTCCAAGAGAAACCTGGCATCATAGCAGCAAAAGTCTGAAATACAAGCTGCATTTTTAAATGACACTGTCGACTAAATAAGGCAGTCATACTCAGTCACAACATTTCTCCACCGGTGCTCAACAGTGCATCACATTATTAGCCTGTTTATGAAACGCCCCATCCTGGCTACAGTGAAAGGCTTTTATTCCCACCCAGATGTCGCTGTAGGGAGCTGGGCGCTGTAGTTGGGACAGTACCATGTGCGCTCTCCCTTTTACGCCGCATGCTCAGTGTTTTTTCTACCCCAAGTTTGACCCTGGCCACTATTTCCTCCGCACCGTCACTCTCTATAAAGTGCCCATGCTTCCCCCCACGCAGTCTCTTTCCCCGGCCACAAAACAACCGTGAGTGTCCAACTCACTGTTCCTGAAAAACTTAAAATAAAAATAATATAAAAAATATAAAATCCACAAAATCCTAAAAAGTGCAGATCTACTTAAAGAAATAGAAACCTTTAAAAAAAATAGCAAAATCTTCTTTTAAAAAAACATAAACATCAGGCCTCCGGCTTAACTCGAAGTTGTCGTCTTTTTTAAAGGAAACACTTCAGAAGACACACGTCTTTATCGCGCTGCTTTTTCCAGGTTTGGCATTTTCAAAACGCCCGATCAGCTGTTTGTGCAGCGTGTCTTTAAGCCAAAGCGCAGTTTGGATCCGGATTAGAGACCGTACCGACATTTTTCTGGCGTTTTTTAAAACGAAGCCTTGCGTTTATCCTCTGAAATCAGCGATATGAACACAGCGACGGGGAGTTATCCGATGGCTTCTCTCTATGTTGGCGACCTGCACCCCGACATCACGGAGGCTATGCTGTACGAGAAATTCAGCCCAGCCGGACCGGTGCTCTCCATTCGGGTCTGCCGAGACATGATCACCCGGCGGTCCCTGGGATACGCTTATGTGAACTTCTCACAGCCGGCTGACGGTAAGCAGGGATGGGATAGCTGTGCCGTGTGAGCACGTTGCCTCCACAAGGCGTGAACATTTTGACATTTCCAGCCTGCCGTTGAAACTGTGCACAGAGCCTGAATTAAACGCAAATAAATGTGGTTAATTTTGCAGTGTGAAATGTTCACCGCAGTTCTTTAGACCGTATCAGTTATTTGACCTACATAAGCACGTCCCAGTTCTCGTGTATGGTTGGTAATATAGCAGC